GATCTTTCAAATGAAAATCACCCAGAAACTATTAACTGGGGGAAATTAACACAGTACTTACTAACTCAGTTACAGATCTCTCTCCAGTTACTTTTTACTGTTACTTCTGGGCATAGAATATGATAAACTAGGAAAAATCCTTTTGACAGCTTTAAATGAAATATAAAGACTGTCTTAGTGGAAATCTAGTAGATACATATATGTATATGTATCTATATAAAGCAAATAAGGTACAGTTAGCAAAGATAACTGAGGCTTTTATTTATTTATTTATTTTCCTACAAAGGGCAGAGGCACACATTTTCAGTGCGGTGCACACATTTCTTTCCTTAATTCTATTTCTTTTTTCCTTTCAGATTAACACAATGCTTATGAAGAACACACAAACACACACACACACAAAAAAAGCCATATTAGTATAGATTTCTTTGAAAAATTCAAATTCAAAATTTTCTTCACAGAGTGCCCTGTCACCCAGACACTCACTAATGTAATGGAAAAGAGCAGTAACATCTGAGTTCAGAAAGAGGTGCTGAGTTAAGTCTGATGGAAGATGGTCTACATTAATTTTAATATAATAAAAACTACCCACTATAAAATGCATAAATGAGTTCTTTGTTCATACTTCAGATGTAGAGGATAAATTATTATGCATCAGAAAAGCGCTCTCCTCTGGTCACAAATGTAAAGCTCTCTTTCCATCCAGTCATCACAGCTTCTGCCTTAATATATGAGGAAAACTCTGAAGAAAATGAAGAATTCTCAGTATCGAGTTAATATTTTTTATCTACGCAGTGTCACATCCTTTTGTGCCCTCTGTATAGCACCAGAGTAGTTGTGACTATAACATATTTAGGTGGTGGGGATCACAGCAGTAAAAAATGTGAAGCACTTTGCAAGCCAGTATAATGTAACGGAGATTTAAAAGAAAAAAATTATGCAAAACATAAGTATTTCATTAGCAAGATTATGAATTGTCATCCTGAGAATATTTTGTTGCTGCACAATGAAAAAAAAAAAAAAAAAAAAAAAGAAGGAGCCACCAGAAAAAAAAGTGTAATGCATTAACACACAGATAATGACATACAAGAATACATAAATACAAAGACATATGTAAATGGAATAATGCTACATGTTTAACTCCTTTAAATATGAAGCATTTTACATGTTTAGGAACTAAAAATTGATGCTTTGCCAGTATTACTTGGTTAATGAAGAACCTACACTTCTCTCATCCACTTTGTTCTCTTGAGCCTTCATTTTATTATGCTGCCCCTGCATATCACTGTTGAAACAGAGCAATGAAGAAGAGGTTCAGCAATGAAGAATAGTTTCGGTTTGTAATGTTTCAGCAAAGCTAAACCTCTGTAAGTAACCCTTTTATAAGGTCAATTCCAACTGCTATCTTGTTAGTCATTTTCAACTGTGCTAAGACAAGGCTGTACTTGAAAATCAGATCTTCTGATGATTTCTACCACCTTTCAGTGAGGACTAAGCTATGGCACAAGAAAATAATCATGAATATTTTTTCAATTTTATTAAACATGTGCTATTTTGCATGGCCTTCTGGAGCTTCACAGTACTAAGAAGTCAAATCACAGCAAAATATGTAAACAAGGTTACATGTCACAGTAAGTGTTATAGCATTCCTCCAACTTGCACAAGTCACATACCAACACTGCATTCCAATTTCCCTTTTTAAGGTATGCTAGATGGATCTCCAGCAAGGGTGTTTCCCTTTTGTTTGGCAACTTGTTGGATGTTCATGGCACTCTGTACTACCAAAGCAGAGGATTTCCAGACCCTTGCTTTGACATTCAGGTTAAATAGCAAAGTATATTAATTTTTATTTATTTATTTGTTAATGTCAGCTTATCATGTGTCAACATGAAGCACTATCTCAGGATCTCTAACTGAGCTAGACTGCATCAGTTTCTAAACTATATTTTGATTTGTAACCTGACACTTCCTGAAATAGCCTTCTAAAAACAGACATAAAATGAATTGAGTGCGTTGGCCGATAACAGATGACATTAATGCTGTAAATCTGTGTGCTCTTCCAGGTGGCTTCCAAAATTAACTAGTCACCCCTAACTGTTTAGTGAAATTGTCACTGATTTAATAGACACATTAAACTCCTATTTATAAATTACTGTGACATTACTAGTGCAGCGGTTCCAGAATAAGCAATATGAGCTCCTATGCAGCTGTAACTCTATTGTGCCCAGCTATCATGGCTGGAAGATGAAGATAAAAATAATTCCTGAAATTATCCTGAACTCTAATACTTTCAATATCTCTTTAAAATACAACACAGTAATATTAAAAAAAGAGAATTACCTTGAAAATGTATGGTTGTGGAGTAACGTTAAATTATAATAAACATCAAACAGTTATTTCTGCTCCTAAGAACTCAATACCATTTCATATCTTAATTTTTTCTATGATTTAAAAAAAAATAATACATATGATATAAAGATACTGATTAACCACTGTTGAGTGTATTTTGACACACTGAGAACTGTATGAATTTATATTATGCATGTCTTTTACAATCTGGCCTTGAAAGAACAATTTTTTCCACAGAAGTTCTCTCATTCAGTTCTTTGCTCCTTTGAGAAATTCCTGGAAAAAAAAAGGGGGGGAGGGGGATGGCAAGAGGGGAGGAGTGGAAGGGAAGACTAGAGGGGACTAGAAGAGAATGGTAACATTTCCATTACCTTCTTTTCCGTCTGTTTGTTTCATAAGAAATCAAATAAAGAAGACATCAAATAAGTGGCAAATTCCTTTTCAAGTAGACTGAAGCAAATATTTAATATACATAAAATATGCTAGATTAAACATCAAATGGATGCTTGACAGATAATAAACATTGTTTCAAAAGATGATAATCTGGAATATTTTGAATAAAAGTAAATTTTTCTGACTAGCTTATTGATGGACTAATGCAGCACACTTTTTGTTGTTGTTTCACCACTAAGGTCCTCCTATATTTTATTTTCTTTTGTATTTAATAGTGGAACATCTCCTTCTGGCATATGATAACCTTTCAAGAAACATAGCTATCATTTGTGCTACTTGCAATTTGACTTAACATTGTGTTTGAAAAACGTACTTTCAGCAAGTTGAAACAGTTTTTAAAAAGTCTTGTGAGCTATAAACATACCAAGTAAATCTGTGATGTGATAAGCATTATTTTTAATGGAAATATCCCATTAATTTTAAAGCTGCTTACAAGCTTAAATTCAAATGTATTGATAATAGTCAATTTTATGCAAGAGTAATACTATTTTGGCTGCTCAGGGCTGACCCTAAATGACTACCCAGGCTATCTTACATAAAAGGATAAAAACTAATGAATTACAGTGATGCAGTGTTAGCATCTCTGTCTTCAGTGGTAAAAAGCACAGCAATCACGTTGCCCATGCTACTGCGTCAAGTGTGATTAGAGTCCTCGTTTGCTTCTTTAGTCGGTGGCCAGAAGGAAAAAATAGGTGTTAGAGACAGGACAATTGGTAGTAACTGGACGTTACAAAGATGCAATTTTTCATGATGGGATCAGACTGTTTTCAGCTTGTAAATGAAACTCATCATATGTTTGCAATATAAACATATAGTCTTACTGCAAATATTTCTGGCTAATATATTCTAGTGCTTAACACTAGTGCCTGCATCTGTAATATTCAAGAATACTTTTGTCTGGTTTTTCCAAGCACCTAAGGAGCCAAATGTAGCCTTACACTGCTCTATTTATACACTCATTATTTGTAATAGCTTTCTGGAAGGGAAGAAGGGAAAATTAACTTTTTGTGAATTTCATTTATATTTAAAAACAAACAAACAAACAAACCATCATAATTCATAGCATCTACATAAGAAAGAAAGAAAGAAAGAAAGAAAGAAAGAAAGAAAGAAAGAAAGAAAGAAAGAAAGAAAGAAAGAAAGAAAGAAAGAAAGAAAGAAAGAAAGAAAGAAAGAAAGAAAGAAAGAAAGAAAGAAAGAAAGAAAGAAAGAAAGAAAAGAAAAGAAAAGAAAAGAAAAGAAAAGAAAGAAAGAAAAGAAAAGAAAAGAAAGAAAAGAAAAGAAAAAGAAAGACAAAGAAAGAAAAAGAAAGACAAAGAAATAAAGGATGCAGTATTAAAGTTAAAACTGAAAGGTGAAACCCCATGTTTTCAGAATCTGAACCTTGCTGTCTAGGGAAGTGGCATTTAGAGACCCACGAAATTAATCCTTGCCCTCTTATTTTCATTGAATGATAGCCTTTACATAAACTGAAATTTATGCATAGCGTGCAGTTACATACCATGCTCCTATTCTTTTCAGGTCTAATTTGAATCCATTTTTTCCGAAAGTTCTATTATCCAAATTCACCCTGACACTCCTCAAACAACCAGCTACTGAGGTCCTATTATGGAAACAATAGTCACGTAATGAGAGAGAACTGCACAAATTCTCTGCATGCTTGTGTGCTTACACACAGACTATAAAAGCTATAATGCAAGACTTTGAATTATGAAGCTATAAATCACATTAGAAATAATTTGTGAGCAATCAGAAAGAAAAGCAAGGGATACTGAAAACCAATTTAGAGTAATAATACCAACCACAGAAATGACTGTACATCCTGGGCTGGAGACTTCTAGGTTTAAACCTTTTCCCTGATGTCAGTCTGACATTCACTGTTAAAAATCATGTAAAGTAAAGAAGTTTTTTGAAACACAAACTTATCTCAAACCCCCAAATTTTAGTTTTATCCTAAAATCAAGGACAAGGAAATAAGACAAACACAAAAAGGAAGAAAGTAAATGTTTTAAACCTGTGCACTAAAAATAGCAATCATGACTAATGCAGCTGTATGACAGATTGAATGTTGAAGGTGATGAACAGAGGGAGCTACTGTCAGCTGAAAATCTGCCCCATCAGAAACAGGTACATATTTACAGCACATTGCACTCTTTGTCTGCATCATTTCAACTTTTAAAGAAAGAGTAAAATATTACCTTTCCCACATATTGAGGTTCGGAGCCCATGTACTCCTCCAGCACAAAAAATTGATTCCACACCCAGCCTCGTTTGACTCGCTGGGCAGATGACCTCCTCCCTGGCACTGGGACAACATTTTCTCTTGGCTCTGCTTCTAAAGTCTGTTGTGGCTGTGGATGCAGTGGCGTTAGGAGACCTCCATCAAACAGGACCCAGAGAAGCAGGGATAAGCAGTTCCTTGTAAGCATTGGCAACGGCTTCCCTACAGCAAGTAATAAAAACTCCAGCACTTAATGCAGAGCAGAGTAATCCAGGTTTGAGGTGTCTGTGGCCTCCACCACTTAGCTTCTGATTTTATTGCGGAAATGCTAATGCAGGCATTAATCCTTCTGATGACAAGGTTTTTGCCGCATTAAATTCCATCTAAAGGGACCTATAAAAGAGATTTACATGGCAACATCAAATTACATAAAATTACATTGAAGTGTTCATCAAAATTCTCACACCTAGTTAGTTTCTAGAGAGAAAGATTAGGAATCACAGTTTTAAAAGCAATTATCGTTTTGACTGTAGTAGCACCGAGCTGCTCTGGAATATGGTGCACTTAGCACAGGAATAGATCATTCTTGCCCTGCTTGCCATTATGTTTGTGTCTAGCTGAGGACAGGCCCGTACCCTCTACTTTATGACTCTGTTATCTCACAAAACTTTCACCCACCAGTGATGCATTTACTCTGGATACAGACATAAAACACTGGGCAAGAGAGAACCCACTCTTCCTCTCTCAAGAGCAGGAGTGCTTTGCTTTTTTGTCTTTGCCAGAATGGCATCTTGGACATATCATCCTTCTGTGACTATGGATGGATATGGACAAAGCTTATATTAAACTATTGACCCTGGAAGGTAGATTTGTATGAACTCTGTGAAAACTGAAAAAGTGAGAAACACTGTCCATGCAGCTAAACACCACAGAGCTGTCAACACACAATATGCTGTCTGTGACAGACGTTCTCTTCTCATAAACCTTGTATAAAAATGGTAGCTATGCTGTTCTTCAGCAATACTGCAAAATGCATTAAAAAAACCACGGTCTTGATCTATGGGAGCAAATGATAGAACTGCAGTCAATGCAGAAAATGAAACAACACAGAAGCCAGTAAGATAAGACATTGACATTCATTTATACTGACAAATGCCAGGTACACAGATTAAAAATAAATCAGCACTAACGAACTACAGGGCTTAGAGAGAACCATCACATCAAGGTGACAATTAAAACTGTGGTGATTCTTGTAGCAGCCAAACGCCATCAGCACAGAAGGGGAAAAAAGAAAAGAAAAGAAAAAAAAAAAGCCCTGGAATGACTTGAAGGAATTGTTTTTGCTCTCATATTGCTCTGCTTATATCACCATAGGCCACTTTAACAGAAAGACAGATAATAAAAAATACTGTGCTTTCTAGCCACAGTATAATTAACAGGGGTGCTTTCTTTTAGTATTTATGAAATGTTCAGATTCATTGTCTGAAGTTAATAAAATGACAGTACTAAAGGATGTAAATATTTAAATATTATGGATTGTAGAATATATAAAATGAACCTCTAGCTGTCATTTGCAACTTTGCACCAAATTCAGCAGCAATAAAAAATTGTGAAAATGAGTACTCATGCCATCTAAAATTGCTGTGGCACAGTCCACTATAAATAAAGTGCAAAGACTTATGAATCCACAGAGTTCATGCTGAAACAAACGGAGCTATTCTAGAATTTAGAATTAGCCAATAAGCCGTAGCACACCCGCATTTACAGTAAAATGAACATCAGTAAGTATTAAGGCAATGCAAATTCTTTTGTGTTTACTCTTTCCACCCTTTCAAGCTATCGATGTTTCCATTGATAGAGCATGGCTTTCATGAAGCTAACCATGTCTATGCTGGCCCTGGTTAAGGTGTTAAATCAGAACTTTTGTATTTTCCTAACGTTCAGGATATCTGACAAATACTTTCCATGCCATGGTTTTTTTCACTGAGGGTGAATGACTGGAAAGCTATATGTTGCATTAGCTGTTTTCTGACAACTAACATTTCTATAAACCACAGTCACATGCTAACAAACTTTAAATTTCAGTGTGGGCTGAAGACTTAAGAATGAATTAATAATCCTATCTTTTAAGACCTGCATACTATTAATGAAATACCAGCCTGCTATCTGGCCTACTGTTTGTCAGCTACAACAAATTCTACTTCTAGGATTTAAGATGAATGCATGGTACATTTTAAGAAAAAAAATACAATTTATACCACTATGGAATTCACCACTTGCCTTCAGACATATTGTGTCATTGATTTTTAAGCAGAAGTTTCTCCAAAATCAATAGAATTCTGCTTAAAAATCAATGACATGATATGGACCTGAAGAAAAAAGACATGGTAAAGTATCTAAGCATATACATATATATATTCCCATTTTCAAACACTGTCAAAGGTTAAATTTTCCTTATGCATAATATTATTATTATGCATAGCAATAACTAACACAGAAATGTTTGTTACCTACATACTGAAGTACCTAAGTAGAAAGGATTTATAATTGGAAGACCAAAAAAACCTAATGAGTTTTGAAGAAAATCAAATAAAAAATCCCTAGAAAAATAACTGCAGCTCCTATTCTACACTTCTGTTCTGATTAGAAAGACTGCATTTTTTGAATCTTTGAATTCTACCTTCAAAAAGTATCAAAAGTGAAAGAGCTCCTATTTGCTTGATACTTCCCTAACAACAACAAAATTATTTTAACTTTTTTTTCAATCAATTCTATTTCAGCAAATTAATCTTTAAGACAGAAACTTAAGACACTAGGGAAGGGGGAAAATATATTAACATTTAGAATGTGTTTTTATTTTCATTAACAACTTTATACTAAACTATTTGTATTACTTTTTGTGGTCCTCTCTTCAATGCATTTGACAGCATACAAAATCACGTTCAGATTGTGTTCATCCATAATTCAATTCAAAAAGCTTCAAACTCCCATTGTTCTCTAGTTCCATGATTGCAGGATGCTTGCCTGGCATTTATGGCAAAATCAGAGTAGCTGTGCAAGACAGAAAAATTAAAAAAAAAAAAAAAAAAAAAAGAAAAAAAGAGGAACTCAAATCATCCTCTTGAATTGCTCAGGCATGGATGGAAGCTCAAAATAAACAAGATAAAAAAGTGGTGGGAAAGCCTGCACTGCCTCACACACCCCGAAATCACATTGTATTCAATTTAGTTCTTTACTGAGGAAGATCTGTACATTATGGTTCTCCCAACAGAGCTCTGCCTCCGGCCATGTCTGTCAGTCAGGGAGCTTTTAAAATGTTATACAGCACCAAAAGTAATGCAAAGAGATTGAAGGACTTCAGAGAAAGAAGAACAATTCCCCCTTGGCTGAAAGGTTAGTAACCAAGCGCAAAACAGAGAGCACTTTAACCCATTCTCCACTGGTCTCTCAGGCTGTCTTCTGAGAATTTGTTGCAGAGCAAGGAAAGAGCAATGCCAGTAGTTGCTTCACTCCCTGCAGAGCTTCAAAACATGGATGAACATGAAGGTCGGGGAAAAAAGAGAGGGTAATAGGTATTGCTCTACAGGACTGCAGCACAGACACCCTTATCAGATGCATGACAGTCACCATGAAGAATTTTCTCTTTTTAATTTAAAGCTCAGCAGTTAGAAGAGAATTCTGTACTTCAGCACTCAAAAAAACAATGCTAGCCATCCAGCTACTGTGTATCATTTGAGCAACAGTAGACTGGGGCAGAAGGTCTCTCCTTGTCTTCTTTCCCTTCCTAACATTTCATTGGTGGCTTTGGAGAAAGCCTGGCTTGATAGTGTGTATTTAATAATACAGTTGGAATGTGAGCAGTAATTCAAAGGCTAACACCGGTGTTTCAATAAGTCTGTGCTTACTGGTTTGCATTTTCTTTTTAAGCTATGTGTTAGTCTTCCATTCAGGGTGCTTAGCCCTATTTGGTACTCTTACATTGCCATATGCTTATTAAAAATTTAAATATAGCACTTTTCTATGCATTTGCCTGGAAAACAGTTATTAGTATTCAGAGGTAACTGTTTAGAAATCTGATAAGAACATACAATGATAAGAAAGAGATATGGTATCACATTTCCTTTTTTTTTTCCAAGGAATTACTTCCTCTGATGCTCTCACAAAAAATACATTTATACGGTAAGGGAGTTTTGTACAGAGACACATTTGCAATGCTTCTCTTTCCCATACAATATGAAAATACAGGAAACTAGATTTTTCTTGGATCTTCTTTTTTTTTTAACCCAAGAATAATCAATTCAGAGTATTATACAGACTCAAGTACCATTTCGTATGAGCTGCTTAACCCATAAAGAGAGCTACAAAGGGAGGGCCTCTATTCAAAAATTCTAAAAGTTGAATTTACCCATGCAAATGCTTTTATAAGTTGAGATTTCATTTATTCATTTCCCCCATTTGTCAAAAGTGAAGTGAACCAGTAACAAGTATGGACAATGCTAAAGCATGATAACTAAGAAATACAGATTCTATTTACTCTGTCCCCCAAACTGTCAGGCTTAGAAACTCATGAAATGCAAATGAGGAATTAAATATGATTACCAAGACTATTTACTGAGAATAATAAAATAGAGTATAAATGATGCTCAGGCAAGAATTTTGATGTTGACCTGGATTGAACTGCTATTAATCTAAGCAACATGAGCAAAGAAATGCCATAGGAATAGCAAAATGATGTATGCCATCGCTAATGCAATAATCCTCAATCAAAGAAAGTAATGGAACATGAGTCCCTTTACCAAGCTCAGGAAAGGTCATCTTTTCTGCTAGAGAGGACAGCCATACATCCTTTGTAGTCATAGAATCATAAATTCATTAAGGTTGGAAATGACCTCTAATATTATCCAGTCCAACTGTACACCTACCACCAACATTTCCATGTCCCTTAGTATAGTATTCAAACATTTCTTGAGCCCCTCCAGGGAAGTGACCCCACCATCACCTCTCTGAGCAGCCCATTCCAGTCCTTTCTCAATTTTCTATTCCTAATATCCAACTTGAACCTCCCCCACACCACTTGTGGCCATTCTCTCTCATCCTACCACTAGTTACCAGGGAGAAGAGACTGACTCTCACCTTGCCACAACCTACTTTCAGGCAGTTATAGAAGTCAATAAGGTTTCCATTGACCCTCCTCTTCTCCTGATTAAACAATCCCAGTTTACTCAGCTGTTCCTCATAAGACCTGTGCTCCAGTCCCCTAGCTATATTTGTTGCCTTTCTCTGGATGTAGTCACTACTATGCACACAGGACCTAATTCAGAGAAGTCTCAGAAAGCAAATTCTGAATGATCTATATGAGGTATCTAGTTGGATCAGACAGGAGATGAACTACT